AAAGTATACTAATTATCACAAAATCAAAATTAATTTCTCATCAGTACACTTGTAGTTAAACAGACAATCCTTACCTAGAAATGGACAAACTAATCCATAATAATATATTAGCTTCTCTACCCCTTTTTGGGGTGTTATACAACATCAATGTGACTCTAATTGCAGTCATGAATGTCATTAGGGGTGGCCATGAGCCGAGCTTCTCACGAGCTATTTGAGCTTAGCTTGGGTCAGTTTAAACTGAGCTTCGTGTCAAGCTCGAGCATGATATATAGGCTCATTTGCTAATCGAGTCGATCTCGAGCCTAGTGAAGCTTGGCTCGTGAGGCTCGTGAGCTTAGTATAATAAATAAATAATTTTTTATTATATACACACACATACATACATACATACATACATACATACATTATACACACACATATATATATATATATATATATATATAATAAATACTTTTTATTTTATATAACAATGTTTTATATATAATATTTTTACTTTTTATGTATAATAGTAAATAATTTTTTTTATAATTCTTATTTTTTGTATGTAAAATAAAAACATTTTTATATGTATATTTTTTATTTTATATATATATAATAATAAATAATTTTTATAATTCTTAATTTTTTGTATTTAAAATAAAAAAAATATTTCTATATGTATATTTTTTATTTTTTAGAAAAAAACTTGGCTTGCAGTCGAGCTCGAGCTCAAGTTTCTAGCTCGAATCGAGCTCGAGCCTGACACAGTTTTAGCGAGCCGAGCTCGAATAGCCAAGTATTTGGCTCAGCTAGGCTCAAATCCACCCTCTACTTACTTTTCGTTCATTCAATTTTAAAAGGTCTATTTTCACGAAAAGATGTTTTCGAAACATAAGTGAAAAGCAAGACAACATTCTTGAATTGTGTTTTCTTTTAAGGCATTGTTTGTTTAGAATTTTGTAACTTATCTGGTTAAGTGCACTTACCCAGATAAATGTTTCCTCGGTAACACTTACCCAGGTACATTCACTTACCCATGCTTCTTTTTTTTTATTCTCAGGTAAATAATAGAATGACTTTTTTACCCATAAAAAATCAATATTAAAATGGGCAAACTTGTTCCATTATGTGTTATAAATTTTCCCCCTATGTGGGAAAGTTATCTACCCACTTGGGAGATGGGTAAGTTTTACCCAATAAGTGAAGCTAATTTTACCATGGGACCTGGTATTTAATGCAAATGTAACATTTTAAAGTTGGTCAGTGGAAAAGAGATACCGTTTGACCAACTTCCCCCCTATTTACCGGTAGATGAATGAGGCCTAAAAAGCAAACAACAAAAAACAAAATTCATCGGTTATTCATTCTATGAGTCTTTGTTTATTCATTTTGTCAAGTTAGGCCTCCTAGACATGAATCAGACTCCGACTCTTGTGATTAGGGCAGTTCGTCAAACTGATGAAACTGACCAACTTGACCCAACTCGACTTGAGTTGGTCAATTTTCTAGCATTTTTGGTCAACTTTGATTCAGCCATTATGCAGCCCAAGAGGTCGAGTCAGTTTTTGTTTGGACGTGGGAAAGTGAAAAATTTTCCATATTTCTTAGTTTAAAATATTTTATATTGTAAATTTAATAACTGCTGTGGATTTTTATTTAAATTTAAATCTTTTAAACTGGCCAACCAAACTGATAACTGACTCAAACTGATATAGCTCAAATTCGCCAGTTTTTTTTTTTTTTCTAATGGTTAATTGGTTCCAGATGACTAATTCCCCAACCCTCGACCAGGTCATTCCGTTGATCAAATAACCTGCAACCGGACCAAATCGACCTATAAACACCCATAGGGATGATATAACAGATTGAAACTCTTCATTGCCCAGGGAACCCTTTGGATTGGCTAAGTGTTCAACCTCTTGTCCATGTCAACCTTGTGTCCCCGGCCAGCAGGTTGTATTGCTAATTTCCCCAAACAAATATTAGCCGTTCAGTGTGTATACATGAATGTGTTTAAACGTAACAAGTAACCGACTGGACAAAATTTGGAAAATTGCAAAAAAATCAACAGAAACAAAGAAAACGGGACTTATATAGCTGCAGTGGCTTAGTGGCAGAATAGTAGAAAAAGATAGATAGAAAGAAGAGAAGTGGGGGGAATAGAAGTTATACTTGAATTAGTAACAGAGAACCAGCAAATCAAAATTCAGTTAATAATTAAAATACTTTTTCATGAAACAAAGAATAAAGCTTAATGGAATTATGGAATAAAAAATCCACTAGTTTTCTCTAAAGCGCTTTAACGTGCTTGACATCAGCACCAATTACATGATCACTTCATCTTTTTAAATTTGCTATATTTTCATTTTCTTCATCATTAAACTAAATTTAGGAATGTGCAGTTGAAAAAGAAACTAAGGCTATGTTTGGTTTGAAGGAATAGATAGGGAAAGAAAGGGAAAGGTAAGGAAATCTATATGGTTTGTAAAGGTTTTCCTACTTTTTTCTTCAAACCAAACACAGCCTAAATAGATATAAGGATCCTTGAACCAAATTATCAAAATTATCATTTGTGGTACACTTGAATTGGAAACTAATTTGTTGTTGGGTTACTGGATGAGGCCCAACTCCATTGGGCCTTCTCTCAAAACTCAAATACTTCTTTTAACTTGGGCTTGTAGATATTTGTAGGTCCATAGTATTAACCGGATTGTTGGCCCATCGTGAGAAATACTCGAAAAGTCGAAATCCCTTACAGGCTAAAAGGAAAATCTGATCTTTGCTTCCCTTTTCCCTGCCTTTGGCCTTTCATCATGTTGTTTCCCTCTCTCAATTGAAGTTTCATTGGAGGTTTTCAGTGGTTGGTTCTTGGCTGGAAATATTGTTTGGACCTCACTTCATGTATGATCAATGGTAGTTTGAACAGCCAAAAGAAATATAGTTCGCTACATGTTCCCTGGGACCCAACAACCACTCTTCCCAATAAAAGCTTCATCAGATTGACCTACTTTGAACTGCCATCAAGTTCCCAAATATCTATGCTTGCCTTTCAAGTATAGTTTAAGTAAGCCTTTTCCCTTCTGATTATTTATGTAAGGTTTAAAATTTTGCAACGTATCAGATAATATTCATCATAATGTTTCAATGAGGGTCCAATCCAATACATGGAGTGCATAGAAATACAATGTTTCATTCCTTTTGTATGTATTAAAGGCTCATATCAGGTAGTCTCGAATCTATATCGGCCAATATAGGCCTGGATCGATACTATATGTGTATCAGCTGATAAATTATAATTTTTAATATTATAGCCCCCCTCCCACTCTTTATAACAACTCCTATATATTTTACACACACACAATAATTCAATAACCCCTATAATTAGTTTGTAAGAACCATAAGTCCATCACTACAACATACTTTATTTGTTTGTCATTATTATATGCATTTTGCTTCAAGTAAATTTTCTCTTCTTAGTGGATGTTTGTCATTAAATGGTAAAATTGATTATTAAAATTTGGGTAAATTATTAAAATATCCCCTAAAGTTTAGTAATTGCAATCACTTTCTTGAACTTTTTTAACATAGTTGCAGGTAGACCCCCTATTTTAGAATCTTTTAAAAAGAGGCATGAAAATGTCTAATATACCCGTGTAATTATTTTTGATAAAGATGTTTATTTTCCAAATTATCTCTTCATATGAATCATGATGTAGCTATATCTGGTCGGCCCACCAGACCCTAACACGTGGCATTGGCCAGGGGTATTTTCAGTAGAGGATAATCTCCTAAGGGCAATCGGGTAATTCCCGTCCTTAGCGATTATGGAGCACTTAATGTGGGTGCACATCCTGGGCACATTTACTCCTGAGTCACTAACATGGGGTCGTAGTCAGCCTATGCCTCTCTAAGTCCCCCTATGTGACTGTGATATACAAGACGGTTACAACTCGTGCATTACTCCCCACTTGAGCGACTGTTATTATAAAAGGGACACTACAGCTAAAGGTACATACGCATACTTGAGCTATCATTGACACTTTTGTGGTGACCTTTGTTTCCTTCGAGCTCTTGGCTAACTTGACTGTCGGAGTCTTCGCCCCTGGGGACACTCCCAAGGCCTCTGACGTCTCTTCATTCTTAGCAAGCGGGACCCGCAACCCTTGGACCTCGGAAATTACTCCATTGCCTCGGCTCTAGATTTGGCAGCATCAAATCAATGCCCCAAGTCCTTCCAATCTCTTTTTAGAATTTGATTTATTTTTCAAATTTGCCCTTCTACAACTTTAAATTCTCTCTTTTTTTGTTGTTCATAAAATTTGTATTATTTGTTTCTATATAGATCAGCCTTAATAGTAACTGCATGTGTATCTTGAACATTTTCATGGCTCTTGTTAAATGATTATAACAAAGGTGATCTACTTGTAACTGTATCAAAAAGCTCAAGGAAGATTATTGCAATTACCAAACTTCTTTCAGCAACTGTCAGAAATATTAAGGGAGGCTTTAGCAATCTACCCTTGAAATTTATATACTAATAAATACTAAAACAAATTATATTGATTTTTTGAATATTAAGGTATATACATACACATTTTAGTTCTATTATTTTTCAACCATTACCAATTGTATCCCGCTATCTCACACTTTATATAAACCATTAAAATATGATTTTATATGTTTAAATAATATTTTTATAGTCATATGAAACATGTATCTATTATTGTTAATGTCTTTTAGGATTTACTTAAATTTCCTAGTATATTCATGTTTATTTAAAGATGTTTCTGGATACATTTCTTAAAATTGCCTTTATAACACATTTTGTATTTGGATAATTTGAGCCTTGTACTTATCATTAATTCTGGGTTATATTTAGTCTAAGAAATTGTCTACTGGTTTAAATGAATCCATGTTATCAAAATGACCAAACAACTAGCCTTCTTGGTTCTAGATTTATCACCACAAAGAAGTGCAATTTTGCGTGGATGCAACCATTATTACTTTCACAGTTCGCAAACACAAAATCGTCAACCATTGCAGCTGTTATAAATAACTCCTCACTTCACTTGTTCAGGTTCAAACATCAAGTATATTTCATGGTTTCATTCAGGAATTCAATTACAACCTTGAAATGTGAAAAAAAAAATGATTCTACAAAAATCAAGAAAAAGGTTTCGTGGTTTTATTCAACTCTGCTTAAGCAGCTCCCCCTGTTTTTTAACAGGGGTGGAGAAAAACAATCCAATACCCTTGCTTATTGAAGAGGTGAAGATGTGTCAAAATTACTTTAAATCTGAAGCCTTCGGCTTGCTTAGCATTTCGGAAGGTCGCTGGGAGGTGGTAAGAGTGACTGGTTGGTGCCTTTCCCGTTGTCTACCACGAACGCCATCTTAAGTCCCCACGTCGTGTGCACTTCCAGATGACAATGCATGAACCAAACACCTGCAAATTATTCATCAAATTAGTTCTGAGTTCTGTTTGAAGAAAAGCACACAAGAGTCAAGAAGCACCTTTGATTAATTCTCTGTTTGATGTGTGTTGGGTATGCAATTTGATAGAAGTAGAACATTACCTGGATTATCAGCTCTGAATCTAATGGCAGTCCATCCACCAGATGGGACTCCAATGGTGTTCCTCTCAATGGGGTCGACAAGGTTGAATTTGGCAGGATCCTTCTTGGGATTGTAATTTCCTAGTCCTCTTCCAACTGCAAAGAAGTTGAAGCCGTGAAGATGGATGGGATGGTTCTCTGGGGCTATCATCCCTGTATCTTGTAGGACCACCTGTACTGTGTCGTTGTAACGGAGCCTATAAACCTTTGTCCCGTTTATGGTCTGGAGGTTTGCCGGCTGGGTTCCGGTGTAATTGTAGGCTATGGGCGGGTTGGCCGGGAAATCATCCGTGAAAACTCCGCTTATATTGAAGAAATGTGCTTGAAGCAGCGCAGTGGTGGGCATGACGAAGCTGACATTATTGATATCTGCAACCACTCGGCTCCCATTTGGGCAGGTGGAGCATGGATTGACGCCAAGGCCGACGCTGAACAAGAGAGAGTGATCCACAGTCTGTGGAACTTTGGCGGGATACTGTTTCGAATTTAAGCTGCGGAGCGAGTCCATGAAGTTGGTTGCTACTGGGGTAGCATTCTGAGGAGGAGGATTGGTGAGGGTGGTTGCAGATGTAGCGAGGCTGCCCGAGTAGTGTAAGGTAGCGGTTGCAGTCATGTTGTCGACGGCGACTACTGGAGTGTCCATGAAAGGGGAGGCGGCAACCAAGTACTTGCCGGAGCTTCGACCGGCGGTCAGGAGGACATTCGTGGTCTGGCCAGGGGCGATGAGCACGGTGTCGGTCTTGAAGGGCTTGGTGTAGACGGCATCGACTTCGACGACCGTCAGCTGGTGGCCGGCGATCTTGAAGAAGAGCTCTTCATTCAGTGCAGCGTTGATGAGGCGTAGCATGTATGTCTTGCCAGGATCTACTTGCAACTGGAACCCATCTGCGAATACAATAAAAAACGGCAGACTGTTGAGACCTTACCATCCATGAATAACCAGGGAATCCCTGAAGACTCTTCTGAGTTCTGACAATGTTAGTAGCAAATACTAATTAATTATTTATATATATATACATATATACCCTGTGAAGAGCAACCAGGGACTGGTCCTGGGTGACCATTAATTGTGTGAGCATCTGAAACATTTGGTGCCAAACCAGAACCGAGAGCCTCATTGATCACAGCTTCCACGTCCGACTTCCACCATTCACCTATAATTCCATCCAAGATTCAAATGTCAGAAATAGATGAGAAAGGCATCTAGTCCGGGCCAGCGTAAGACCAGTTGCTCTTGCCTAATAGGGGGCTGGTTCAACCAAAGTTTTAAAAACCGGAACTTGAACCATTTTGGCCATTGGTTTTCAGTTGATGGTTTGACCGTCCGTCTGATTCGAATAAATGATCCATTCTAAGTTCTAACTTAAAAAATTTAAAATTAAAATAAAAAAAAATAGTCAAAATCATTGAATAGGTCAAACAGGTTAATGAACAGTCCAATCTTCCGAGTCAACGGCGGTAAACTCTCCGGCCGAGCAAGGACTAAGGATTCGTATTAGAGAGAAAGCGCACCTAATATGACGACCACTTCTTTGTGGGGTTTGGGGAATGGATAAGGAACGCCGCGCTTGGGCAGGATGACGATGGCACCATGGAGCGTTGCCCTTAGCCACAGGATGTGGGCGTGCCACAGCAGCGTGCCTCTTTGGCCCGTGATGGTGAAGTTGTAGACGTAGCTTTGGCCTGGCTGGATTGGGCACTGTGTGATGTACGCCGGCCCATCTGCCCAACCTGTGCGAAGCTGCCGGATGCCATGCCTACCATCACAACAAAGTTACAATACAACCATTAATGCTCCAAAGAGGATAAATAAAAAAACAGGAAAACAAATCCCGTTTGGCTCACGGTCACGGGAATAGAGGTCTGAAATAGGAATCCAAATGACCAACTGTTTGATTGAACAGTCCGAATCTATTTCTCATTCCTTCGTTTGAGAGAATGAAATTCCATTCCAATCAATTTCGATTCTCATTCCGATCCTTATCTAAATCAAACATACCATTTCAATTCTGATTCCAATTTCCAACCAAAGAGAAAGAAATTTGAAGTACTAGTCATTAACTATATATTCGGTTTCGAGGGGATAACAGTCATTTGGACTATAGCTTTAGGCTTACCAATGGATGGTAACGTTGTATTGGACGTGATTGACGACCTTGACGAGTACAGTATCACCTTCTCTGGCATAGAGGGTGGGTCCCGGGAACCTCCCGTTGACGGTGACGATGGGCTTGGTTGAACAGAGCCTTGTGAAGTTCCTCGTCACCACCTGCGTAAATTAAGTAATTAACAACCAGTTATGAGACGAAACTCTCAATTTGGAACTCCAACAAACATTTTTCAGGTGCGTATTGCGCACCCCAACCCTTGCTGTTTACAGAGTCTGGACTCTGGAGTGGCTTTCTAAACAGATAACAGTGACTATGATTTGTGGGCTTACCTTCCATGACTTTCTTCTTTTCAAATCTTGTCTGAACTTTGAACCTAACAACTTACCGTCTGGACTAGAAAAACAGAATTATTTTATGATAACTTGAAGCATAAGCAAAAGCAATTCTGACTATGCTATTCTTGTTTTGAATGATTTTTTTTTTTTTTTTTTGCCTTTTCCCTCTTCTTTAACAAAAGAAAGGCTTCGGTTGCATTTGGCATTCCTTATTTTATTTTAAGGACTTATCTCCTTTTTATTATTAAAAACTCAATATCTATAGTAACATTTCAATTGCAAAAAAGAGATAAATTGTTAAAATAAGAAATGCCAAATGCAGTCTTAGTTTTTACACTTTAACCCATCTGGGTTCAAATATTTTTGGAACTCTTTGAAAGTTGAAACTCTTAGGATTCCTTAAACCTTCTGTTTCTCTCTTACAATTTTTTTTTTGTCAAATTAAACACAGCCTTAGTGAAAAAAGGAAGAAATATTAAATTAAAAAGCAAGCTTAGCAACTTGAAAAACATCCATAACCACTAGTCTTCTACCATGCCCCAATTTTGGGAGTGCTTATTGGATAAATTACTGCTCATAGGATAAGTGCTTATTAATAAGCGTTTATCCTAATAAGTACTTATGAATGTTTGTTGAATAGTGCTTATTTCAAACAGGGTGGTATAGGTGTTTTGAAACTTAAATTGAGATGAATCAAAAAAAAAAAAAAAACTTAAACTGCGGGTCAAGACAGGCCAGAAACACAATAAACACATTACACATTGAAAAAGCTCTTAAAAATAAGCCAGAAATTTTGGCTAACTAGCTTCTTAAAAACGGGCTCATTTTTTTGGAATAAGCACTTTTTTATTTATTTTCCAAAATGCACATAAATGCTTATTAGTATGGTTTCGGCCTAAAATAAGTACTTATTTAAATAAATACTCCCAAACGGAGAATGCATTTGCAGCATGCATGCATGCAGAAAGTGACGAACGCCATAGATAAAGCCCCATGCACTCACTGGCTAAAAGCTTCAACTACTTACATTGAACTTGTAATGACGAACTCTGCACTCGACCAATGAAGGAAGCAAGAAAGCTACCAACACCAAAAGCCGAACCCAGGACACCATCTTCTCTCTTTCAGTCACTCCCTCCTTAATTTCTCTCTTCCTTCTCTCACTCGTTTCTCTAGCTTGTTTGGCTGTAGTTAGGCATGACAGACCAACGCATCCTTATATAAGGACATGGAGGCTTTGCTGCCATGTCGTTTTTGTAAGTTAGGTGAATTGGGATTCTTGAGATACAAGATTGAATGTAGAAAACAACATATTCGACCTAAGTTTCCTTGCATATCACATAAAGTAGTACTAAAATATAAATTAATATCTAATAGTTTAAGTTAATTAAGCTTTTAATCTCGTGAAATATTGGCTACAAAACCCAGACAGAAAAATGGGTTGGTGGAAATCTATGGCTAAGCTCCAAGTATGATCCTTCTCATTCAAGATCTGGGCTTTTGGATTTATTTATTATTTCTATGTTCAGTACTGAGTAAATTGCTAGCCGTTTGAGTTGTTTTCTTTTAGGGTCGAAATCTCCATCATCTTTAATTAGTAGGATAAAGCCATTTAATTCCCTCGGAATCTTTTATGGAATATACATTAAGTCTTCAAACTGGGCTTTCTAATCTTTTGTTTAAGAAAAGAAAGGTTTTGTATGTGACTGATATAGTATGACTGGTCCCACATGTAGCCATCATGTGACCGTTCCAAGCCAACCACAGGGGTCCCACATAATAGAATCCTTACCCCAAGAACAATTTCAAAATCAAACCACACGCTCTGCTGCCAAAAGGAAAATTAAAAACTTATGAATCAAACTTCGAGTTGTTAACCAACCAAAGCACACCCTAAACCATATTAATTAATAATCAATGAAGTCTTTTCTGTTAAGATTTTGTCATTTTGTATTTCAGTTGTGTCATGACTTAGGGCTCATATGGCCGGTGTTGTCATATTCGAACTGGACCAGAGTGGTTGAGCTGATGAACCATTGGCAAGTAGGCTTTTTAATGTGTAGGCATGGCAATGGGGCAGGTTTGATGAGAGTTTTTGTAAGTTTCAGATAACTCCTATCTTTATAAACCTCTCAACCTATACCCTATTCAAAACCAGCAACCATTTGAATTTTTAGAATTGAAACCCTTTTTGCATTTGAAAATGCAAAACCCTATCTTCCTTTCCCTGCATTTGAGGGCGAGGCAGGTTGGATCTAGAAGCGACATATGATAAAATTAGCTAGTGAAGTTACTAAAAATAACTTAAATTAATAAAACTTAATAAATTAAGTTATTAAACTTAATTAAAATCTCCTATTATATTTAAGCTATAAACTACCAAAATAAATTGAATAATTGAAAATTATTTCAATTTTTTTAAGCATTAGAAGATTTTAATAAATTCAATGTATGGATTGGGAAAGATTAGATTTAGCCAAAACTAAAGTTCAAAATATCGATACAGCCGATACGTCGCTAAAGACATATCGGTATCAAAGCTGATTTTTCCTATCTTTTTTAGTTTTTTTTTTTTAAACCTGATTCATAAGAGTCGGTTTAAGGTCCGTCTATCCACTGAACCTGGTTAAACTTCAAAACACCCCTTGTAGGGGCGTACAGGCCAATACGTATCAAAATATCAAACATTGGCCAAAATCCATGCCTATACAAATTGTAAAATCCCAAAACTCATCCCTACCCCAAGATCCGTTTTAAAAAAAAAAAAAACCATGGGTCGTCTGGTTAGACAAGATTGCTTATGGCTACTGGCTAGCATGGTAATGGCCATCCAAGAGGGTGGCCCAGTGACTCATGTGCATGCATGCAAAAAGCCATTACTCAACTGTTGGAAATAAGAGAAATTTCCATAAGAATGCAAGATAGTAAAACTGAAAACTTAGCTAGGGTATTTCAGTCTTTCCCCAAAAGTCGGCCTCAAAAGAGTCAGAAGGACGAAGGTGATTAGAATGAAACTAGAAGAAAAGAAGACCTACCCTCTCACCAACTAGTTCCAGGTTTTCTCCAACATGAATGATTCTTTGTTGTGATTTTAAGAAAAGTGGCCCCATGAATGGTTTGGAGAAAACATTTTTTAAGGAGAAACATGTAAAAGTAAAACACATTCTTAGTTGCATATTATTTTTCTTTTTTCAAAATAAAAGTTAAAAACCCAAACCAAAAAAAAAGAAAAACATTCTTTAATTTCTAGTTCCAAAAACATGATTTCTTCTTGTGGTTTTTTTCTTCAGATAATGGTTTTTATTAAATGGAAATTACTTCACCTTTTTATTTTCTTCTGTTTTTTACTTAATCCCTTCAAATGTGGGTGGTTTTTGTATTGTTTTCCTTTTGGAAACACAACATTTTTTTTTTCTCTTTAAAAGTACTTTTCTGTTGGTTTCAGAAACAGAGATATTTTTCTTTATCAAACTGAAAATAATTTTACTTTGATTTGATAAACCACACATCCAAGAACAAGCTTTTGCTTTTTAACTGATATGTCATTTTATAAAAATAGGAAAAACAGAAAGGTTTTTAATTGTTGGAGACTGGAGAGCACCCCCAGAATTACAAGGTCTGAATTAAACAAGATTAACTCATCGGTGTCAAATACAAATAAAGATATTATTCTCATTGTTAATAGCAGAAGCATAATAGAGAATTGATAGTTTGGTGTTTGGAGCCAACTGCCCAACAAACCAATTTTACCAAATCTGAACAGTAACCTTTAATTTCTTAAGACTTCTTAACACCTACTCCCATTTATGTAAAATTACATGTGGAATAAATTTATGAGATTAATTTGTCTGGTTGTGGTTGAAGCTTTATTTGCAAACTTCACCTTCCAGAAGATTTATGAAGCATATTGCATGTTAAGTTTGTTAACCCAACAAAACATTGTAGTTGTGAAATGCTTTTCAAGGACCAGTGTGTTTGATGTTTGAAAGCTACAACCCAGAAGGATGGATAACAGCTTACTGATCAGAACTGTAATAGCTGACCCCATTCTCCTCCATTTCTCTCTCTTGAAGGTTCCTTCCATAGTTAGTCCACTAAGTAAACTAAGCTTTTCCTCTTGGCTCCTCAGAAATCATTGTGAAAAGCCAGCAAGCCACTGAAACAGTGAGTATATTTCATGGGTTTTGGAGGAGTAGGCCAATCAGATTGTAGTAGAGCCGTATGGGGTTCAAATTAGTTAGTATGAGCTTTCATCATCCATGGGAGATATATACTGATGTGATGCTTAAGAATCTCTCTCTCTCTCTCTCTCTGGTTGGTGGGCCAGAATAGTTCTTTATCATGGCCAGGAAATTATAATTTGGTGCAGGAAGAAAATAATTTGCTACAAGCCAGAGATATTTAATGGAAACCATGTATAATCATCAAGCATATCTTCACTTAGAACAACTATTACTCAGTACTATTCTATTATCAAATCTATAGTTTATTTGGCAGTATTGCATGACCCTTTTCAATTCTGAGGCTTACTTAATCAATATCCACAGGTTTCAAAGAAAATGCTTTAGTAAAATTCTTATAACATAGCAGTTCTTGGGTCTTAAATTTTAATCAGGCCCAACCAAACAAATTGGTTATGCGTTATCTCTCTCAGAATCTTCAATTTTGAGTACAGTTCCTGCATGAAGACAGATTGTAAGACAGTTCCTTAAATATAATTATCATCAAATTGTATTTTTCAGGATTGAAGATCGATTGGAGATTCGTGTTTCAAATGAATAATTTAAATTTTCTATTTCCACAACCTCTGCTACAAAAACTAGAGAATGAGAAAGAGAAGTTTGATCCCTCAAAGCCAATTCCATAGTTGGTTTCTTTGTGCATGCCGTGCGTGGCACCTTCTAAACTAAGGGATTGATTGAATGTCTTCCAACCAAAATAGAGATATCTTCCCTCTGAGTTGTGTCATGCATTAAGCTTTATGCTCAAACATTGTAAATACCTATAAGCAAATAGCCCTATCTGACCTCTACAAAGAACAAGATTACGTGTATGATTAGTTAATGCTCATCACAAATATATAGAATATGCAAACTTAGGAGTCTGATACCCTGAACAATTACTTCTTTTTCTACCTCCAATTTCTTTATGTTTGATAAGCTACCTATTATATATTTAGGAGTATAGGACCATCCACAATGAGCTTGTGGTACTAAGGTGCTTACTTATTCAGAGCAAATGGTATAAGTAGTTTGATTAATTAGCCATGATAAGATTAACTAGTTCGATTAATTAAAGAGATGGTATTACTTATTTGGGTTATTATTTGAAATCACTCTTCACTTTTCTGTCTTTCTCTTAGGTTTACCCTGACTTTTGGACTCCTCCTGTGAGACAGTGACCCTATGTCAAACTTTTGCCATTAATAAACACACCTATGCAACTCTTTTCTTTGAACCAAAGTCATGAAAGTAGACTCATCCATTCACTTGAATTGAACCATTGATTGATGAATTGAACTTCTCTCGTGGGTTGTGAGATGAGTGAACATGAAATAGGTAGGAGAGAGGAATAAATCAGGGCTATTTTTGTAATATCAAAATTAGTTTTGTAGGGGTCAGTTTTGTTATTAAAAAAATAATAATGGCACATGTGGGTATTTTGGACTTGACAGAAGGTACATATAAATAAAATATCTAACAGGGGGGTCAGTGGAGGTAAAGAAAAATGAAGGCCTACTCAAGAGAATTTAAAAAAAGTGAAAGGGAATTTCACCTAATAACCCTTTTTTTAAGTCGTCATCATCATCATCATAATAATAATAATAATAATATCTAGAAACCTTGTTTGGTCAATTGTAGCTCCATCAATTGCAAACTACAAAAAAAAATGTATTGTGGTTTTGGATTATGGAATTCAGCTATGTACAAGATTTTAAAGAATTGAAGAACAATGCAGTACACTAGAATGAGACAGTAAAAGAAAATTGGAAGATTCAAACTGGTTGTGTGAAAGTTTAAAGCCCTCTTCCTTTGCTAGAAACCCCACTGAAACTTGAGCATAAAGAGATTGCCTCGTTTCTTCCTGCATGAGGAAGAAGAGAAAAAAAAAAAAAAAAAACAGTCCCCTTCTGATTTTCTTCTGATCAGATTGGTATTCCCCTATTCTCTGCTGA